TCTCCCCTTCCTTCTCTATCCAATCCCTGTTTCCCTTCTGGATAGCTTCCACCTAGACCTCCCTGACTCCCTTCTCCCTTCTCTAGTGACACGAGAAGCAGCATTTGAAGCCCAGACTCCAGGGCTTCCTTCCTCTCCCTGCTTCCCTTACTTTCATCCAAGTGCCCATGGAAGGCCCCACAGGGATCAAGGAATGGGGCAGAAGCCTGGGGCTCTGCTGCCTTACTGGGTGTCCACCATTCTGCTGGGCCGGGCTCCGACCAAGACCAGGTCATCTCCCAGGGATGGCCCAGGATGCTGGGGCAGGGTCGTGAATGAGGCCAGGCTCAGGGAGAGAGGGAGGGGAAGGCAGGTGCATGATGAAAGAAAGGGAGGTGGAGGAAGGGGAGGGAGAGATGAAGGGAGACACAGGAGAGGAGAGACAAAGGAGAGCTAGGAAGCAAAACAAAGGGAAGGGAGAGATGCTCTACCATGGTGCTGGGGGTCAGGAAGGAAGAGAGAAGAATAGGGCTCTTCTCCTGCATCCCTTTCCCTCACCTGGCCCTGGGGACCAAGGCAGGAATGGAAAACATGCACCTGTGGGCGAGGGTCCACTGGAGGCCAGCGGAGCCTTTGTCACCTGTATGAGCCCAGTCTGAGCTGGGCATGGGAAATGGATCGGCCAGGGGAGGAGACATTCCCCCAAAGCAGTGACAGCTCAGGCCCCAGCTCAGCACAGGGTTGAGTGTCTGGGGATCCCTCTTATGGCCTCCGCGTTCTCTCCTGGTGGTCCCTGCACACCTGTGTGTGTCTGTGCTGGTGCCCAGCCCGAGGAATAAAACCCGTCTTTGGCTACCCAAGGCTCCTCTGAAGGCCCAAGCAGGATGATGGGAAGGGTCGAGAGAGGGAGGGGCAGGGCCCTGAGAGGCCCGACTTTCTATCTCCTCAGACTCCTCTGCCATCTGCCTTTCTCTCCTGCCTCCAGATGCCCTCTGCTCACTGGTGATGGGCCCACCTCTGGGCCCTTGACTCAGGGAATCCAGGTTTCTCCCCAAAGATTGGGCCCTGGGAACGGATGGCATGACAGCAGCCAGCCGCCCGGGAACTCAGCCCTCAGCATGGGGCAGGAAAACCACCATGTCAGCCTGAGACAGATGGGGGAACCTTTGTGGAGCCAGGGAAGGAGGGCCACCCTCAAGACACGGGAGGGAAGTCCCATTTCAGCAGCGAGGCAGGAAAACTTGTCTGAGCATGAGGCCCTGGGCTGGAGGACCCTGCCGACTCCAGGGCACCGGCATCTGGCCCCAGCCTGTGCACCCCTGGTCCTGGTAAGGCGGGGGAGCCCTGCTTCCCGGACCACTTGCATGGAGGCCATGCTGGAGGAGGCCGGGTGCACAGGGGCAGGAAACACAACCCAGAGCAGGTGAAAGGGGGAGCAGGTCAGAGGAAGGAAAGGAGACCTATGAACACAGCTGAGGGACACTGAAAGGGGAGAGGGTGGGGGCCTGTGTTCCTCCTAGAGGACCCGGCTGCCTCCTCCTGCACAAGGGCACTGTCGTGGGGGAGGGCAGCTGAGGGTCCCAGGAGGCACAGGTGCCCAGGAAGGGTGACAGGGGTTACCACTGACCTTACATAGGTAGACTGGTCTGGGAAAGTGCTGCACAAGGGGTTCCCTTCTAGCCACAGCTCTTCGAGCTTCAGCCCTTTCACCTTGCCCAACTCCCAGGTTGACCTGAGCTGAGAAATAGGGGAGGAAACCGGAAAATAGGCCCAGGGAAAGTGACACACCCAGGACCCTGGACCCCAGCCACCCCCACCTGCACCCACAGGTACCTTTGCCTGCCTGTCATCACCCCTGTGATGTGTGCTACCTGCCACCCACCCCCACCCAAACATGATTGGCTCCCCTCTTCTCACCTCATTTTGGGAGAGGTTCAGGATCTTGACTTTAGGGGCCTTCTCGGCAATGCCAGACAGGCCATCCAGTCGGTACAGTTTGTTGTTGCACAAGTTCAAAGACAATAGCTTTGGGGGAAGCAGAGTTAGAGTGACAGCTACTATCTAGGGCCTCGGACACAAACTGCCCCCCACTCCACCCCTCCTACCCCTGTAACTAAACACCAGCACCGGGCCTCAGGCCTCACCTCAGGAAAATTCCTTTCAATGATCTGCAAGGTGGCAGCCATGTAGTCTCTTCGATTCAGGATTATATCAATATCATGGTTCACCAAGTCTTCAGGGAGCCAAGAGAAGGGAATCAGAGCCCGAATGGGATCCAGCTGGTCCAGCTCCAGCACCAGCCCCACCCCGAGTTGTCATCCACAAATCTTCCTCCCAGACAGACTCCTCTGCCTTCACCTGCCATCGAGCTGCCGCAGTCATACCTGGGTCAAAGCGGAGCCTCTGGAGGTCAAGAGTTTGCTGAGAGGCACTGTATCGTTTGCTCATGGTCAGCTGCAGAGACAGAGATGAAGAGGATGGCTCTGAGGCTCTGGCAGTGGTGGTGGTCTTCTAGAAACGCATGAGTGGAAGAAGAAGAAGAGGTGGGTCGGGGAAGTGGACATGCAACGTGTCTTCAGTGTGCATTACCTTTAGCTGCTCCATTTGTTCTGGCTTCAACTTATTCTGCACAGAGTAGGGCACAGTACAAGGACTGACAAAGATACATATCTGCAAGGAGGAGAGGCAGGGTAAGCACCAGAACCGCTAATCCCAAAGAAGACGAACCAGCCCCTGGTCTGCCCTCCTGCCCAGAGACTAGGTACAGGGAACACCCTAGGCACACACCTTGTGGTTCTCCTCATCACAAATCTTGCAGCTTACATCCTTCAATGCGTATGCAGTACTAGCATCCTGGACAAAGAACAGGGCTCGATGTTGGACGTAGTGGAACTGCAGGAGTGCAGGCAAGAGCGACAGTGTCAGAGGCCACTGGCCCCTGCTGAGCCAGGCCTCTCCCCCACCCCTGTGCCCATTCATCTGACTTCGCCATTCTCTCTTACATCGACCGGGGTGAAGGAGACTCTGCAATGGCTCTGGATGGAATTCACTAGCCATGCCTTGCCATGCTTTCTCGCATGAGGAATCTAAGGGTAAAAACAGAAAACTGGAGACACGAGAAACAACGTGGAGTTTCTCTCTGATGGAGGACAGACCCAGCCAGGCGTTCTTTTCAGGCCTTCCGCTTGGTCTTAACGTCGAAAGCAAAGACGGCTGACATGATTTCTTATTTTTCCGACAAATGTGGATTTCCCAAACCCCCTTTCTCTCCATTTCGAAGCCCTCTTCCAAATAATCAACTTAGGGTGTTTCATATAGTCTTCCTCCTAAAGGTTCCAGAAAATGCTACCTAATGTAGACCTTGCCAAGACACTCACTGTGACCTTGAACCAGCTCTCCGTGGTTCCATCTTGTGTGTTCTCCCCCATTTCTCTCTCTGAAAGTCTTCTATTTCTCCACACAGGAATACAGATTTGGTCTTCACTGTGCCCTTGCAGTCCCCTCGTGCTATGCCGGATGGTGTAAGGAGTGCTGTGGGGAAGGGCAGAGAAGCTGGGTGTACATTAATGCTGAGAAAGTCTTCTATACACCCTCCCCTCACTGACTCCGGGGATGCAGTTAGGATTGCTCAACCATTATTCCACTTCCAGCATTCTTCAGTTTTCCAATGAGACCAGAAAAAGAGGACCACACAGAGAGAAAGAGTTGCTCACTCACGGGGGCTGCCACATGCAGAGCAGGCCGCCTGGTCACTTACTGCCTTGCTCGGGGGTCCTTGTGGACATCCCTCATCTTCACGTTGCCATCATTCTCCTGACGATGTGAAGGCTCATACCCACCATGGTCATAACGAAGCCTCCTCTTGCCAAATCTACCCCGGAAACACCTCCTTCTCTGTCTTTCTTGAAGAGCGCTACCATAGTCACAGCATTCTGCAATTGGGAACAAAAATACAAGTTTGTAGACACATCAATGTACCATGTTGGGGCTAATGCCCTGCGCGCACGAGAAAAAAGTACTAACCGACCCCCAGGGGACCAATCACACAAACCCCAGAAAACAGACTCCTCTGTCCAGATATGAGAGCCTTAGCTCCCAAGGTCGAAAAATCAGGAGGGGAAATCGTGGAAGAGGAAGCAACTGTGTTGAACATATGATAATAATAATAAAAATAAAACAATGATGACGAAGCAGGATGTATAAAGAACAGAGGTGCGTGCACCCATAGCTTAGACTAGACGTCTGCGATACATTAGGAAGCTGTCCTAATCTTGCCTTCTCTCCGGCTTCTCTCATCTACCAAGTACGCCAATACCTGGGAGACAATGTCTCGCACACCCCCCAAATCTAATCAGTCACCAATCTGATTTGGTGAAGAGTCAGCAAGCTGCACTTCCTCTGCCAGTGTACTATAAGCTTTCATGGCAGATGGGGCTGACGTAAGAACGTCCTAAACTGTCCCCCTGCCTCCGGCCTTGCCCTCAACAACACTCAATTTGAAATACACAGAGTGAGCCTTTGCCCATCCTGAAATGATTTCAACCCAGCAGACAAGTCTTCCCAAACTCAGCTTTTCAATAACCCGTCTGTGAACAACAAGCTGAAAAGATAAGCACCAACTACGTTTTCCAAGTGTTTGGACAGTTTTCTGTTATCTGTTACTGATTTCTGGTTTGACTTATTATGGTCACAGAGCACACTCTATGTGATTTCAGTTCTTTTAAACTTGGTGAGGTCTGCTGGATGGCCCACAAGATACTCTACCTTTGTGAATGCTGCAAGACCCTTGCCAAAAAAGCATACCCTGCTGTAGTTGGGTATAGTGTTGTCTTCATGTCATTCAGATCCTGTTATTGTATTGATCTTCTATATCCTTGCTGAGTTTCTGTCTAGTAATTTTACCACCTGCTGAGAAGAGGGGGTCAGAGGTCACGACTGTAACTGTGGTCTTAGCTGGTGCTACGTTAAGCGTCATCAGGATTTGCTTCGTGTACTTTGAGATTCTGTTTGGTGCATATACACTTAAGACCATTATGTCTTCCTTGCAGACGGATTTTTCTATGCTATGCTCCTCTTCATCTCTCACTGATTTGTTGTTGTTGTTGTTGTTGTTCTGTCGAGCAGTTTAATGGATAATGCAGCCTCCGTTATGCTTTTAAAGTGTTTTGGTTATATTTCCTTCCGTATTCACTCTTCAGAGTGGCTTGGCTGTTCACTGACCCCTCTCTATCCCACTCCCTGAGAACATACCTAGTCAATTCACCACGTTGCAAGATTTGGAAGATTTGGGGGCATCTGCAGAAGTAAGACAGTCTCAGTTCTCTCTTTTATAGGAAGATTCACTATAGGTATTTTATTTTTACCACAGCCAGCTGAAACAATGTACCAGCAGACGGTAATCCTAGTGCTGTGGGGGACATGCGGGATTAAGGTAATTAGACCATTAGAAAGCAGTTTATCTTGGGCTCGAACATTTCAGGTTCTCTAGGATTTTGCGTTCTACATTTTGTACATCCATTACTCTACATTACTGATCTCACTTATGAGTAAAAGTATGTTTACTGCTAATTTCTTAGGTTGTACTGACTATGGCCAGGCCCCAGTTGACTCCTCTGGAGTTGAGGGGAGGGGTCATGGCTTCCACTTTGTGATCCACTGTCAGGACAGTCCTGCTACTTATGGGACTTTCACTGCGTGGCATTGGAAGTGAAATTAAATGCGGGTACAGCATCTGACCTAGACGTTCCGCATGCTTGGTCCCCTAAACTCGGCAGTGGCCTGGAGTGCTCTCTTTCTTTCACACTCTGTATCCAAGTGATCAGGATGGATACACGTTCTCTTGGTTGTCCCTTTAAACTACATCCAGAGTCTGGTTGCTTCTCACTCATCCTCTCCATCGCTACCACCCTGGGCAGGTCACCGACATCAACGCCTGGATTACATGGCCTTCCAACTCGTCCTCGTGCTTTCATAGTTACTCTCTTACCCAATTATTTTCAAAACAACAGGCAGAGTGTTTCTTTTACAGCATAAGGTTAATAGTGTCATGTCTCTGCTCAAAATCCTGGAACAGGGCTTTAAAACCCATCAAAATGTGAAAGAGCCACGAGTGTTAGAGATACTCCAACAACCACCAGCACGACATAAAAGATCCTTATTGGTGACATCTGGAGGACACCTGAAGACCAAATCATTTTCATGGAATTTCACAAATACAAGGGAAAAATCAAATATCAAAATGAAATTCAAGGGCGCAGGGTCAAAGCATGGAGTGCAAGAAGAGTCAGAGTCATTTCCAAGAACCGACATCGCTTCAGAAATAACGTCACTGAGGGGATAGCGTAGAAGGGAGACTGCTAACAGCTACAGCTACAGCCATAGGCACGGCCTTGTACACAGGAGAGTACACATGTGATCAAGAGCTATAGAGGGACCCGATGGACAGGGACACTGAAGGCAAAACACACACAGGCGCACATCTACTTTCTGAACTCCTGCATCTCAGCACAATCCTTGACTCGCAGGTATGCTGCCAGAATCAAAGGTGACCACAGGAGTATTATAGAGCAGCTGGTGCCACTCACCCAGACCGCCTGAGCTCCCGCTCTAATTCCACAATGTACGCTGGCTGATCCTCCCACACAGAGACAGAAGTGAGCGTCCTCTAAGACATCACTTGCATTCCTACTGGTATTCCCTGTGTCACTATGGAATTCTGCCTACATCACTGCCCTGCCACTGAGTATATAGCAACAGCATTCCCGCTAGGGTAGAGAAACAATGGGGGAAGAACAAAACCAACACTTGCCCAGTGGCAACCAACATTTGCTCAGTGTTGGGCAGACTCACTAGGTTTCTGTGGACCTCTTCACACACAAGAAATCCCACACAATCACTGTGTCCGCAGTCCCTTTTCCCATCATGAGTCTTAGGCTCACAGGTGCTAGGTACATTTTCCAGGTTTTCTCAGCCGAGTAAGTGGCAGGACAGGAACTGTGCCCTTACCTACCGGTCTGCCTCTACACCCTGAGTGCTCTTCCAGCAACTGCACTGGTTCTCCCTTAATGGTGGAATTTCAGGTCTCGTGAACAGATTTCTGTGAGCAGGCCAGGGAGTATGCTTTGTACTAGTGTCACTCCTGTTGGTGTGGAAATCAGGTGCCTTGGACCAGGTGGACATATCTGTCTTGGATCAGATGGAAAAATCTGGCTGGGTCACAGGCTGTGCTGTTTAGGAGTCACTTTGCACTGGCAGTGGCCGGCATAGAATAAGGGCCTAAGTAATATTTGTTAAAGAGTGCATGTGATGTAGGTTTGGGATCATCAACAAAACTACCTTTGGGAATACATCCACCTCAACCATTTCTACCTCAATTTTTTTAAATTCTACAATTCTGATGTATAACCTGCTTGCAACACCAGCACAAATTAATTTTTATTTTTGCAAAATTAATATTTTTTTTCATTATTGTATCCTTAGAAATAGAACTAAGTACCTCCCTGTAGATAAATGCTAAACCTGCAGGTTTGATGATCTCACAGTACCTTTTTAGGTACATTTTGAAGTTAATAACCTCACTAAAACAACATCAGAGGTACACATATACAGTGGAATATTACTCAGCAAGGAGATGTCAAGAATATGGATGGGACATGGAGGGTTTTGCAGACAACGGTGTGTGAAAGATTCAGTGGAGGGGAGGCTTAATTTCCTATTTCCAATCTTCGGTCAAAAAATGTATTTTTATCCAAGAAATGGTTGAGGTTTAAGTGGCAGATGACAAGAAGCAAGGCAAAATATTCATCACACCACAAGATTCAAGGGGAAATAATACAAGTCACCTTATAAAACTGTATCTTACAGGATGATTCCTCAGAAGAAAATATTGATGAAAAATTATGTTTTTGTGTTTCAATATAAACATAATGAAGATTAAAAACACGTGAGAATGCCAATCATGTATAGAAGAGGGTTGTTTTGATGCAGAATGGTTACATTTTCATACCTATACTTTACTGGTGTAAATGAACATTTATGGCTCGATCGGGGTTTTGTTGTGTGCCTGGGGAGAAGCACTTTTCTTATCGATCCTTTATACAGCACAATAGAAACAATTTGCTATTGATAATCAGACATGAGTATCTTCTGATTAATAAACTTCATCATTTTTTGACAATTCACCTAACCTCTCCTGTTCCTAGGTTCCTAAGATGTAAAAACCAGGATTTAGGGCTCACCACCACCTCAGTGAGTATGTAGGTCCTATACCACAGTCCCAAAGAATCCCTGCTAATCTGGTCTTTGTCCCTCAGTCCCATGCAAACCTTGATCTCCTTTCAGTTACAATACGTTAGATTTCTTGTTCTAGCATTTCATATAAATTCAGTCTTATGCCCTGTACTCTGTTGTGTCTGGCTTCTTTAACTTGGCATCATGTTTCTGAGGTCCATCCATGTTCTTGACATTTCTTTACTGATTATTATTCCATTGTATTTTTTTATTTTATGCTGTTGTTTTAGTGACGTTTCAGGAAGTGAAAATAGGTCCTTGCCTTCAATAAGTCATCTTCCTGGACAGTCTTCTATTCTTTTAACATGGGTAAAATTCCATGCCTGGTCACTCCCTTTTCCTTCTGGGAAAATATTATCTTAAGGTCTTTTTCAAACTTTTCCATTTTCCCCCATTATTTCAGTGCCAATTGTTGGATTTGTTGAGTTTATGCTGTCCCTTCCTTGCTGATCCCGGGTTGCAACTGTCTCCTGCAGAGTACACTTCACTCCTGAACCATCCTTGGACTCACAGACCCTTTGCTTTAATCGGTACCTTGCTCTAGCCTTGCCAGC